CTCGTCACGGATGTTATGCTTGAATGCTGCTAAGGCCTCTGCATCCGGACAATCGACAATTTGGTTTTTCTTAGTTAGGAACCGTGCCCAGAATTGTCTGGCCGATTCCCCTGGCTGCTGAGTTATATGGCTCAAGTCATCAGCATCTGGTGGTCGCACATAAGTGCCCTGGAATTTGTCAAGGAATGCGTCTTCCAGATCCTCCCAACTGCCAACGGAGTCTGCTGGCAAAGCTATTCAGCCAATGCCGAGTTGGTCCTTTGAGTTTTAGTGGGAGGTACTTGATGTCATGTAGATCATCATCGCGAGCCATGTGGATGTGAAGGAGGAAATCATCAATCCATACAGCGGGATCTGTTGTACCATCATACGATTCGATATTTACGGGTTTAAAACCCTCTAGGAATTCATGATCCATAACTTCATTAGTGAAGCATAGGGGGTGTGCGGCGCCTCTGTGCCAGGCTATATCACGACGCGGTTCATGTGAGACTTGTCTACTATATTCGGCCCAAACGGATTTAGCTTTAGTGTATCCGGCGCGACGGTCATCGTCCCGCGTTGGTGCGCGCCCCCGTGACCCGTATATTGACCTTGCACGTTTTGCCCTGCTGTCCAATACGTCTCGCAGGTCCCGTGTGTTGCCCCAGGCCTTGGTATTTTTGATTGGGTGGCGGCGGGGTGCAGGATGAACTTCAGGCTGAAACGCCTCTCTGGCTCGGCCACGCGGTGGCCGGTCAGCCGCATCGTACACTGGTGATGGAGGTTTCAATGATTCCTCCTCGAGGTGAGGTAGCAACCTGCGTTTTGGGTAACTCTTGGAGGGGCGCTCGAGTTCGTATTCCTCGGCCGCAAGGACTTCGGTCCATCTGTCTGCTAGCAAGTCTTGATCAGCTTGAAGCTGTTGTTGCTTTTTCTTCAGGCTATTTGCTGTGGCCATAAGCCGGCACTTGAAGCGCTCCTGCTCAACGGGATCCTCAGGCACGATGAATTCTTCGTCGTCGAGGCTCACCTCGTCTTCGGAGAGAGGCATGTAATTGTCCTCCTCCGATTCTTCATCTGCTGCCTGCTTTGGAGGGCTAGCTTGTTCACCCTCCCACTCTACATCGTGCTGGAGGGGATTGTGGTTGTCTTCGGCACTATCTGGAGTGTTATTGTCTCTTGTATTGGTATCACTACTTTTGCTGTGGCGGGACTTAGAGCGGCGCCGCTGATGTCGGCGCTTGGGTTGCTTCTTGGAGGGGTCATCCTCCGTTGTCTCGTCGCCATTGCCTTCTTTGGGGGTGTCCACCATGTATATATCATATGATGAGGTGGCGGTCTAGCGCACTGTGGGCGATGGTTCCTGTTCGTCTCCTGCATCATCGTCCATACTGTCGATGTCTTCGGAGTCGAAGTCGAGCATGTCGGTTAAACCGTCAACAGTGGCTACTAAGTGGGTGGTGGGTGGGCAGCGAATTTCTTCGTCGTCCGCATCCCATTCTAGCCGGACATAGTTCAGCCAAGGTTCTCCTGACAAGGAGAGAAACCTGAATGAATTTAGCACATCGCCGAAAGGCGAGTGCTGAAAGATATCCGTGGAGGTGAACTCCATGATCGGCGCCCAGTCGGATTTGATAGGCACGGATGCAGGCGGCTCGGAGTCCGTGGCCGGAGACGAATCCAATGGTTCGGCGACACGGCTCTTGTAAGGGGTGAAGTCAATATCCGGCTCCATCGCCATTGAGAGTGCGGCTTCCATGGCGTGGT